GCAAGGATTTTCTACTCACATATATATATATATATATATATATGAGTTTCTCTGTATACTCTTTGGTGTTTTCTCACGTTTCATAAGTTATATTTGAATGATTCATAAAGTGTTATCATCTAAATCTTTTTCATATTCGCTGTATATGTCAATTCTCAATAAAAAGGTGTATACAAAAGACCTTCTATTTTTCTACTGGATTTTTGCAGTTCCGGAAAACTACGTTTTTTTCTGAAAAGCTTTTTTCCTAGGTCACAGGGGTAAAAATGTACAGCCGGAGGTTGTCAATAAGATGATAAACAAGCTCATCAGAACATGAATTTTTTAAAAAATTAATTTTTTCTTGTTTTTACTCATTTATTCTTTCTTTTCTATTCAGGAAAGACGGGAGTATCGTAAAGGCAACTGCTTTAAAAGGAATAAGGGTTTAATAGTAGAAAGTTTCACTTCCCTTATTTTAATTCAGGTTGTCTTATTTTCTGTTGACTTTTTATTTCACGTTTATAATCCTCTTACACTTCATAACAATTTTATAACGAAAATTTAAACCTAGTTATAGTAGGCGATTCCATATAGAAACTATTGTTTCTTTGAATTCATCTTACTATATAGCTGTTATGTTATCCTTTTTTTCTTTAAAATAGGCTAATGTGAGGAATATATAGGCATTATCCCCTCATTTGTTGATTTTTATTGCTTATTGTATACGTCAAGTATTTACAATTTTAACATGAATAATTTTTTATCACAAGCCGAAAAAAAGAAAATACAAGGCCAGAAAAGAATGCTTTTTGAATATTTCCATAAGCTTTCTTTTGTTTTATAAAAAAAAAATACACATTTTTGGTAATTCATTTCCCTTTGGTGATTTTAGAGAGGGAAATGGAATACTCTACCGTTTTTATCGTTTTTCACTGTAGGCGCCATGTGAATGCACATATTTTATAACTTATACTGCATATGCATCTATACAATACACAGGTGACGCTTACAATGTTTAAACTTTAGGTCTGCAACTTTTAATGACTGTATAGTCAACTGAACAATAAATTTGAATGAAAGCACTGACTTTTCTATATTTTGCATAGCGATCCTCAGTTCAAGTTAACTTTTTTTTGCCCGTCCTTTTGATTGACAGAGGTTGCATTGATTTTTAGTAGCGAATCGGAAAAACGTTATTTTGCTACATTTTTTTATACATTAAATGATAATAATTATGATAAGAGCATTAATTTGACTGTATAAAAGGAAAAAGATAAAATTAATTGAGATGGTTGAATGAAATATCCTAGTTATGAGAACCAATATGGATTATTCTTGCTTTTAAATAATGATGGAGGCCATTATGGACGCCATCTCTTGGAATTTAGGTGTTTTTTTTATTAGAGTAATCTTTATGCGTTTTTTTTTTTTTCACTTTTGAACTATAAAACTTCTGCAGTTTTTTCAACTGAGACAGATCAATATAATAGCAGTTGCACCTTATCATTATCGACACGTTATTCGATTATAAATACCTTGATTCAATGCTTTTATTTCACCTTCTTTTTTTTCAAGTTTCTAGAAACATCTTAAAGGAAACGCTTGTTTTTCCAGAAAAGTCCTACATCAGATTACTAAGAAAAAGCTCAATCAACACGCGTTTTCAATGCCCACACCTCGTCCTGAGTTCGAAAATCCACCCGATATCTATTATAATAGCGATAAGGCCACCCGTTATCATGTTAGCAATCGAATTCAAACCATCCAGCGCGCGATGACGCTTCGGGCATTGGAGCTGATGGGAATTCAAGCCGCGATGTTGGGTACGCGGGAGAAGGGCCATTCATCCTCCTACGCGGCGTTGCTGCTTGATGTGGGATGCGGAACGGGAATTAGCGGGGAGGTGCTCACCGAGCAAGGACATGCCTGGTGTGGGGTGGATATTAGTCGTGATATGCTAAAGTTCGCGAAAAGGAACGAACTCGACAATTATGGGCTTTGGACCAACCCTCACGCCGGAAATGGGCCGGAATCGACAATGGAGTGGAGCGGGAGCGCCACCCGTGTTGATACCCGTAGTGTGAAATGGGGCCTCCTCACCGACGACGACGACGACGACGAAATGGAGGACGAGGGTGTGAACAAAGGGAAGGAATTATCACCCGCGCCGTGGATGGTCGAGGTGATTCAAAGCGATATTGGCCAGGGAATTCCTTTTCGCCCCGGTAGCTTTGACGGGTGTGTGTCCATTTCCGTATTGCAGTGGCTATGCTTTAGCACGAGAAAGGGTGAGGTCCCACAGCGGCGACTCATGGCGTTCTTTCAAAGCCTCTACAACACCCTCCGACGTGGCGCAAAGGCGGTTTTTCAGTATTACCCCAGCAATTCCGAACAAACGCACATGATTACGAGGGTGGCTATGAAGTGCGGCTTTGCCGGGGGCGTGGTGGTGGATTACCCCCACTCTAGCAAGGCGAAGAAGTATTATCTTGTACTTCAAGCTGGGCAGGTCACCGGTGGCTTTGTCCCCCCCCCACCCCTCACGGCCGACGTTGAGGATGAAAACTTCGACGACGATAGCGATGAGGAAAGTGAGGACTCTGAGGATGAACTTGAGCCGCGTGATCGTGTGCAGGTCGGAGGGCGTGATAATAGACGCGCTAAACGGGGGCGCCCCGCTTCATCACGTGATCGCAAACGCAGAAAAGATAATCGACCGGTGACCGGCTCACGGGAATGGGTTCTGCTCAAGAAAGAGGAGAGACGTAATCGTGGGCTGCAGGCTACCGCAGATACGAAGTACACCATGCGTCGGCGAAAGCCTCGTTTTTAGGCTTGCTCTCCAAGTTTACATGCTTGGTGATCTAATTACCAAAAAACCCTGTTTCCGTTTTTTTCCCTTTTACACTGTTTTTATCCTAGGAATAAGCGGAACATTTTTTCTTGTATTAACTTGTGAAGTTCCGTAGAATGGGGCATTGGTGTAAAATAATTGTATAAGAAGTAAACTGTCTTCTATGATTAGTCGTAGGCTACGCATCGTTAATTAATTCCAATCAGAACTTAATTCTTTTTTAAGCTTTCTGTAATAAACATGGAACCAACGGCATAATACCATATTCATCTTTCCCCTCTTTATTTTATGAAGTCAATGTGTCTTTTTTTCGTTTTTGTTGTATCTTGGATTTTTGTTTCTTCTTAATCGTTAACAATTCTTCAAAAAGTGAAAAAGGAAACAGAAACACAATGGAAGATACTGATGAATCTATTAACTGGGTCAATGTGGAGCCTGGATTGAAGACGATTTCCTTGTTACTGAACCTAGACGATTTCAAGAGAAAAGTCGCTGATGATATCGAGAATCTATGCTGTGTGATAGTGACCTCTACTCTATGTCGACATAGCGGCATCACGAAAGTACCCTATCCAAAGCATTTTTCTGACGAGGAAGGAGTCGATGAGAACGAGTACGACGATGACTCTCAAGAAGACGAAGATATGGATGACGACGCAGATGGTAATTCCAAAGGGTCCTTCTTTAACCAGATAAAAAAAAATTTAATCTTATCCAAACAAGACCTACGGAAGCGGCGCCATGTCCGCTTTTTCCACGTATGTGCATGTATGAAGGAGGAAACGGATATTCGTCGACTCATAGCGGCATCCCCTATCTTCAAAATGACTGGCCGAGTGCCAACAGAACAGGAGCGTGTCTCACTTCACCAGGTTGCACACAAACAGCTGATAGAATTATTTCATTTTTTAGAGGTATACAGCACGCCAACTATGCTTTTTTTTGTGCGCGGTGAAAGGGTTCGGTATCCGATCAAGGAGGATACAAACACTCCTGGAGGCGATGGGACCACAAATTTGAAGCGTGGTTTGTACCCGCTCGACCTGTTGGTAGCCACGGGTAGCAATTACGTCAAGTGGAAATACGTCATGCGAAATGCGGTGGCAGTTCGCAATACGATTCTTAAAGACTACGACGCAGAGATACGTGAGAAAGAAAAACAAGAACGCAAGGAAGCACGCCGTAAAAGGATATTAGAGCGCCAGAATTCGAAAAAGTCAGAGGAGTCTGAAGAATTTGACGATAATTCCGAGGACGAATACTAGCAGAAAAATAGTTTTCCGATAGTATGTTCTTCTTTGTTTACATGTATATATCTATTTTTTGTCTGCTTTTAATTGTTAGTAACATGCGCATGTAAGTGTCTTCCATAAATCACCACTACCAACAAAACGAAAAACACATCAAGAATATTCGTTAGCCCATGATGCGCTTTACCTTTGTCCTGGCGCGGGATGACAGGATGTGTAAGTATTCACACAATGAACCCCCACTCTAACCTTTCACTTTTTCTCTTTGTATTTAACAAGTGCCTAGTATGAATATGAGTGCATACACGTGTACAACACCTGTTTATGTATTAGAAGAGATATCTATTGAAAATAAAAGGATTTGCCTTGGAAGGCATCCTATTCTACCACCT